TTGGTTCTGACAAATATAATATGAGATTGGAAGTAACGATGTAACTTGTTCGTCGATGTGAGGACAAAAAAATGCCAATTTTTCAATGTTGGGGTCTCATAATTCGGCACCTTGGAGGACTTTGCTAGTGTAACAGACAGGGTACTACTTGTCGTCTTTTTCTTTGTTAAGACAGATGCCATTGTACTTTCGGTAGCAACTAGGTATAAGGGCTCACCTTTCTTAGGTCTGCTTAAGAGAGGGGCGGAAGAAAGGAACTCCTTTATCTCATCGAAGGCGAGCTGACATTTTTTGTCCCTCTTGAAACTCTTCAACTGTTTTAGAGTTGCATAAAAAGACATGCATCTTTTGGCCAAGCATGAGACGAAACGTCCCAAGGCTGTAATTCGGTCATTTAGCTGCTGAACTTCATGAATGTTGATAGGTGCTTGCACCTCTAAGATTGCTTGATCTTTTCAAGATTTGCCTCGATTCCCCGCTGTGATATCATGAAACCTAAAAAAATTGCCTACTTTCACCCTAAATGTGCACTGTCTGGGTTTAGGTTCATGTTCAATTCATTTAGGATTTTGAATGCTTCTTCTAATTCTTTGGGATGATTTGCTGCTTAAGTACTTTTGATGATCATGTCATCTACATACACCTTTATCATTCTCCCTATCTGGTGTTGGAACATGCTATTGACTAGTCTTTGATATTTAGCTCCAGCATTTTTCAGGCAGAATGGTATTATCTGATAGTAGTAAATTCCCCTATCTGTAATGCAGCTCATATTCTCTTCATCTAGTTCGTTCATCCTTATTTGGTGGTATCTGGAAGCTGCATCCACGAAGTTGTATACTTCGTAGCTGGCTGTTGAATCTACCAGTTGGTCTATGTTAGGCAGAGGGTAGGAATCCTTAAGGCCCACCTTGTTCAGCTCGATGAAGTCTATACATAGTCTCCACTTTCCATTGGACTTAGGTATCAGAACCACGTTCACCAACCATTTTAGTTAGTTAACTTTTCTTATAAATCCTAATTTTAATAATTTGTCTACTTCGGCCGCCATGGCTTGTTGCCTTTCAGGTCCATGGCCTCACTCCTTTTGCTTGACAAGCTTGTAATTTGGATCAATGCTGAGCTTATTGATATAATGTCTGGATCTATCCCAACTATGTCTCCAACAGTCTAGGCAAAGCTGTTCAAGTTATTTTTTAGAACCCGTTTGATGTTACTTTTGTATCTCTATGGGTAGTTCAGTACCTAAAGTTAGATATCTCCCAGTCTCCACTTCCCATTTGGTGAGCTCGCCCACAGCTGTTGGGTTCAACTTTAAGCTTTCTCTAAGTATGTTAAAAGGTTGATGTTCATCCTGCATTGTGTACCCTTTCTCGTATGGCATCCACATAATAGGTAAGATGAGGGGTATCCCTTTCAGTGTTATCGTATATGTTTCCTGAGTCGTCTTCTGATCCCCCTTATAATAACAACCTTATCATTATCAGAGTAAAATTTTACAGTGAGATACCTGATGCACGATACTGCTTCCAGCTAGTATAAAGCAGGCTTGCCTAATATGGCGTTATTTAGAAAGTGGATGTTTACTATCATGAACTTTGACTTAAATCTTCTTGAGACACCTTCTATTCTGAGCTCCAAAATCACATCTATGGATCTAGCTACTGGGACTAGCTTCTTAGCGAATCTGACCAGGGGGGTTCGGATAGGCTTCAGCTTCACTTGGTCTAACTTTAAGGCTTTGAAGACTTCCATAGTCGGTAGGTTAACTGCATTATCATTATCTATTAGGATCCTTTTTACTAAGAAATTTTCTAAAACTCCTTCTATTAGCAGAGCATTGTTATGTGGGGTATGTACATGTTCACCATCTACTTCAGAAAATAAAATAGGTGGTCTCATGTTTGGTTTTTATTGGGTTAAGATAGAATAAACTTCTCTAGCCCTTCTCTTTCTTGTGGAGTTGCTATCACTCCCTGATGAACCACCAAAAAATATATGAATCGTGCCTAAGGTATTGCATTGCCTCACCAGTTTTTATTTCCTCTTGATATCTTTTTGAACCTGCCCAACTTTGTCTGTTTGTATGAAGCATTCTATCTCCTTTTTAATTGCCAACAGGATTCAATTTCATGGCCGACGTCCTATGAAATTCACAATATTTGTTCTTGTCTCGATAGACCGAGGTGTCTTCTTTCATCTTTCTAGGATAGTTGATCGGAACCTTGTTTCCATGATCTCTTACACAAAATAGTATCTCTGAGCGTGACCTGTTCAAGGTGGTGAATTCTTGGTCTTACTGTGATCGATCTTCTCTTGAGTAGGATGCTCTAACAGCGTAGTTAGCTCATGGGTGATGAAGAGGTAACCTCTTGGGCGAACGTCTCCTTATTGGAGAGGGGGGTCTTCTATGTCTGGGCTTTTCTTCCTTAGGGATCTTCGATGTTGACCCTCATAGGCCTCGTCCAACTTTGTGTATTTATAGGCTCGAGCCATGAGTTTGGCAAAGATTACAAGTGGGCTTATACCTAGATTCTCAAACAGCTTGTTATAGTTGCAGTTCTTTTCCATGCACTAATTGCCACTTCATCGTTCAGGTTCTCTACTTGCATTGCCATTTTTTGAAATCTAGTTTGTATTGTCTCAACGTCTCGCCTTCTTCCCTTTTTAGGTCTACTAGTTCAGATGAGATTTTCTTAAATGGTACACTTGTTATGAACTGAGCTCGGAATGCTGTGGCCAATTGGAAGAATGATTGGATGGATCCTGTTTTGAGGGTTTGATACCATTCCCGGGCTACCCCCTTGAGTGTGATTGGAAAAACCTTGCACATAAGATCCTCAGAGCTCGTTTATAAGTACATCATGGTCCAAAAAGTTGCTAAGTGGCTTTGGGGATTAGTAGATCCATCATAAGGTTGAAAAGTCGAATTTTAAATTTTTGGGGAAACGTTGTGCCCAAGATATTGGCCGATAAGGGGGAGTCCTCCCTGAGGCCTTAGTCCCCCCACCTCTCCTATTTCCTTGCGTTCTCTAACCAGTTCGTTGATGACGTTTCAGAGATTAGCATTATTCATGGCTGGTTCTGTGTTCTAAGCTCCTTACTATAGAGAGTACTGAGATTTGCCTCCGACTCCTCCTCATGGAATTGTTCAGATATTGGGTGGCCTTGCCACTTAGGTGATGGTAAAGGCGCACTGTGCTCTTTCTGACGCTAGTTTGTTGGCCCACTTGGGAGTGTCAATTCGCCATCCTGACGAGGGGTCTCAAGAAGGCGTTTCAACATAGTGGCGAACTGCAAATATGCTTGAGCTAGGGCTATCGCCACTTGAGGGTTGGTTGTTTGTGGAGGAGGCATCATGGCGTGTTTTACCGCCTCGCCGTGGTTGTCTTCTTGACCCTCTAGGTTGTGGTGCTCGACCGATTCATTAGTCATGGTATTCAAGGTGAAAAAGATTGAGGTTACTAGGTATTGAAGGTGTGTTTCACGCTCACTGCACCAATTGTTAACTTGTTAGAAACTGAGAGTTAATTGTGAATTAGCCCCTTTTCTAAATTAATTTGAGGTATATATACTGGAAAGATAATTGCACTTGGATAAGGATTGTGAGAATCTTATATTATTTGGTAGTTAGAGTTTATTTAGGAATTTAATATTTTTTTATATATTTTATTGTTGTATATTATGAGTAAAGAACAGTTAAGATTGCCTCATCACCCATCACCAAGTCATACCTTACATATTTCTTTGCAAAAATAATTTATTAGAAAGTATAATTATTATTTATATTATGTTGGACAACAACCGATAAAATGAACTGAATCCAATTTTGGTTCGATTTCATTTAATTTAAAAAAATGAAATCAATTTTATTTTTGATAAAAAAATTGAAATGTTTATAATTAGGTTATGGTTTTAAAAATTTTAAATTCTAATTTAATTTAAAAAATTTATTAAAATCAAAAAATCAAATTAAATCAGACCAATTTGATCATGTTGAGTTGAATTTAATAGAAAACTCAATTTCATTGAATTTTTAATTTTTCTGCATAAAAATTCAATTTTTTCCGCTTATATACTAGTTTGATTTTTATTTACATCGAATTAGTGGATGAAACTAAGAAATAATTCTCATTTGAAAAATTATACTCTCTTTGTCTTATTTTGTTTGCATGGTTTGACAAACATATTAAAAATTTAGTCAATAAAAGTTATTTTATTTTTTTTATACTTAACTTATTAAGATATTAATAAAAGTTTTTCATTTAATAAACAACCGTAAAAGTTGTTATAGGGAAGTTAATTGTTTGCGTATCTAAATTTAAAAACCTTGCAAATATTTTGAACAGCAAATAAAATGGGGCGGAGGGAGTATAAAATTCCTTTTAAGATCAAACAATTCCATTGAACATATTTGCATTTTCTCTAGTATTTACTAAACCAAAATTTTTTTCTTTTGAAATCTACTAAACAAAAAACATTAATGAGTCTGATTACTGAAATTGGTTAGGGAAGGCGGGGCCATCCCTGGCCCCCTAGCTCCATCAGTGTATATGGAGTTCCTGTTTTATGTAGAAGAAGATCAAGAATTCAAATCTTGACAAATTTCTTCCTTTCATAAAATTTCCAATGTAATGCAAAAACAAAAAGAGGGAAGCATATATGGATGAAGCTACATTGTTGAGAAGGAGGACGTTTGTCCATCTTCTTTTTCGGAAAAAAAAAAAAAAAAAAAAATCTCATAATAAGATTAAGGTTGAAACCCTGTCCCATGAGATATTTCAATCATCTTGCCCCTTCTTCTTTGTAAGAATTTCATTTGATTAAATCTTATACTATTTTAGATCCTAGATTCATCCCTTGAAGCATAGGTTAAATTTTGGTATTATTTATAGAAAGACATAGATAGTATATGGCAACAGTAGTTAATACACACTATGATTTTCGATAGATATTAGATAAATCCAACCCAAATACATAGAATATCACAACTGCCAAACCCCAACAGACCAAATACGGGAAACGAAACAATTATTAACAACATGGATCGATCAGTTCCTTCTAAGAGCAACAGCAGACAGAATAATAAGAAACAGTAACATTACTGCAGCTATAAAGGAAGCCACAATAGCACTGCTCGAAGACTGGCAAAAATCAGTAAACTGGTTACAAATTGCGTTCCAATTTGCATCAGAATTCCCATTATGAGCTAAATATGCAATTGCAGTAGCAGCAGAAGCAGCTGCTACTATCAGAGCCATTGCCACCTGCACATATTATATCCTTCAATTAGTAACCTAATTATTTAAAAATAATGGATAATCAATAATATAGAGAGTTTGGCTTGATTATTACTGAATCGAAGATGATAAGGAAAAGCCTTGGTCCTGTCGCGTAAGGCCGGACAATGCACACTATGGAGAACGGCAAAGATAGCACAAGATATCCACTAGCTATTCCATTTGCAAACGTAAAAAACCTGCAAGTGCTCGACATATACATATATATATATATATATATACATATTTCACTGTCCCAGTATTATAAGAAAAGACATGGGTTTTATGTAGAATTTTTCACCTGAAAGTTTCAATGTCATCATACTCAGCATGGAACTGGAAGAATTGAGTGAAGAAGGGAAGACTCTGCTCAGTAGTACCCATGATGGAAGTGGCAGCTAAACCAGCAGTAATAGCACACAACCTTAGAACGAAATCGAAAATGGCAGCACCCTTTTTCCATCCCCCTTTTTGCTGCATGTACGTAGCTTTACTAGTGACTAAACCAGTAGCACCAGCAATAGCCTTTCCTTTTGACTTAGGATCTGTTTTTGTGTCTTGAATAGTGATGGTTGCTTCTTCTCCACTTTTCTCGGAGTCCATAGCAAATGCAGCTAGCAGAGGGAGAGAGAAGAGTTATGTATTTTGTTTTTCTTGAACAAAAATGGCTAAGAAAGAGCTTTGTGGGACATTTCCTTAACAGGAAACAAGTACTATTATAGGTAGTAGAACTTAATGGAGTAGATATAAGAATTAGTTCAGGTGTTTTGTAATAACGTTAAAGAGGAGTGGTTGCTAAGCAGCTAACTTGCTCCACTGGTTACATAAGAATAATGGACCAGTAAGAACTTCACAATCTGAATTGTTATTTGTAGAATGGATGCACTCAATTTTTTAACAGATTTGATTCCTAGGAATCTTGAATCTCGTGGATAAAGCATTACGATCTGATGACATATGCACTAATCATCATCATCATCATCATCATTATTGTCATTTGTGAACGAAATAATAATTGCTTAGATCATTGCATCTCCCATTTCAATTTTGTGTAAATGAAACATATATTCATTTCATTTTAACTTTTGTAAATTTAGTTTTATATATTCAACAATGACTAAAAGAAATTCTATCATTTATAAATGAATCACCAGATACATAAAATTGACCCTATATACTTTACATAAAAAAATTTTGAAAAAATTATAATCGCATCCCTATGTTTCGTCAAAATTAACAATTTTACCCTTATTTTTTAAAAATATACTTCTATACCCTCATATTTTTAGTCTGTTACACCATATACCCCTTCCATCCATTTTTTGTATTTTCAAAGAGTAAGTCAATGTAGATTATGATGGTCTAAAGAGTGAGAAATTAAATACATGTGAAAAATATCCATGAGAGGTTATAATAAATGGACAGACAAGATTTGATATTGAAAACAGGCATCTTCAAGCTTCTCCTTCTCTTTGTTCGTTTGCAGCAACACTACTAGTTCCAACCATTACCGCAAACTTAGAACTTAAGTTGATAGATTGATATCAATAACCCATAGAGATGAGAGAGATCCAAGTAGCAATCGTACTGCTTAAGTTGTCATAACGAAGATTGGTTGTTTAATATAGTTTCTTTCTCTAAAATAACAAAAAAAAAATAAGAAGAAAAAGAAGAGATGCCCGTATTCAGTTGAAATATTTGGAAAATATAATATTAATATCATCAGTAATTAATATAGTAATAGAAACTCTTCTTCTTCTTTATTGTTATTGTTGAAAATAATAAATAATAATCTGATTGTGATTTTCCATTTAGGGCTTAATATATTGTTTCATTTTGAATTTTAGGTTTGTTGCAATTTCACTTCGATTTTACCTTTATGCCAATTTCATCCTGAATTTTAACTTTTTGTTGCAATTTCACTCCAATTAACCTCATACCAATTTCACCCTAAATTTTAACATTTTGTTGCAATAACACCCTAAATTATAATTAAGACTTAAATTGTAAATAGAAAATAGGTTCACATAAATGTATTAAGTTAACCCAAGCCTAGGGTCAAGAGTGAACCTATTTTTTATTTGCAATTTAACTACTAATTATAATTTAGGATGCTACTGCAATAAAAGGTCAAAGTTCATGATAAAATTGAGATAAATGTCAAAATAAAGTGAAACTGCAACAAAAAGTTAAAGTTTAGAGTGAAATTGGTTTAAAAGTCAAATTAGAGTGAAATTGAAACAAAACCTAAAGTTCAGCGCGAAACAATATATTAAGCCTCTATTTAGAGAAAAACTATGAACAAGTTTTTCTCTCTCTAATGACTTCTATTATTTTTTGTTTTCTTTTTTAAAAAAATTAATTTATAAAATTGAATATCTTAAAGAGAGAGAGAGATAGTTTGTTGTAATATTTTATCTCATGACGGGAATCTTTTGAAAAACTCAATTGGTGAAATTTGAGTTTGAAAGTTTTAGGGTTTAAAAATTTCTTGATATCGGTTGTAATTGGTGATAAAAAGGAAAATAGATGTAAAAATTAAGTTTTTCAAAAGATTCCCATCATTTGGTGGTTAAATTGAAAAATTTTGAGATAACCTAATTTTTCTACCACTGTTAGGTACGTAGGTGCTCGCATTATTCCGGTAAGGTAAACAATTGATTTCAAAATAAAATTGATCTTGTCTTTTAGTTAGGGTCATTACAATTATTTTATAGCAATTTAACATTTGATAAGAGTATGGTAGTTTATTTTAAAAAACACAAGGGTAAAGTAGTTAATGTTGATAAAACATAAAGCTACAATTATAGTTTTTCCGAAAAAATTTATAGTTTTACCTATTGAATACTTCAATTTAGAAATTGCATTCATTAAACACTTTAATTAATACTTCTATTAAATACTTAAATTTATAAAATTAAATCGATTAAACACTTGTTGGATAATTGAAAAATATAAAAAGTCTTATTCTAAAAGCTATGATAATCACACATTACATTAATAGTTTTCATATAAAAATCAAAAACACAAAATTTATTCTTGCAAGTAAAATTTATAACTTAACGGTGCAATAAGGTCTTTACAAAATTTAGGGCATTGCAAGTTCTTTTGTGTAAAAAAAAAATACTGCTGCTTTTATAAAAATTCATAAGTTTAAATACATGTCAATTGCATACTTGAATATCATTTGTACTCAACAAGAGGTTAGGAACAAGCAAACTGAAAATGTGCAATCACCTTCTATGAGAATTTCCTCATTTTGGAATATGGATAACGCAACCTGAGATGTGATTTGGTTTGATTTTAACGCATTTCAAATTACATACTTTAATTTGATTTAATGTCTTCATTATACCAAAATTGATAATTTAATTCTGACATGTTACCATTCAAGTGCTTAAATTTGAACATTGCTTAACAAATACAGTAAAATTCCTAGTTTTGTATCCTAAGAATTAGGGATAATAAGATTCTAGTTCGGTCTTGATTCAGCTAATTCCGATTCAACATTTTCTTTCTTCATTTCGGACTAAACTAAATCAAAACCGCTAATTCAACCAATAATTTTAGATTGATTTTGATCCCGAAACCTTAAAGGAAGAGATCTGAATTGAACCCTGTTCCTTCGTGATAAAAGTAAAAGAGAGAATATTCAGAAATTGCTATTGATTGTAAAGTGTCCTCTAGTGGGATAAGATATAAATATTTATTATAATATCTTTCCTATTCAAATGAAGGAATAAATACCGAGCAAGAATCTCAGTTATATATGTCAAGGAGCGTTAATTATATAATTAAATGACTCTTTGACCTAGCATTAGCATTATTCGAATTGGTCTAAATAGGCGTAACACTTCAGTTGATTCTCATTAATTGTTCCTCACTTCCAATTAAGAGTGTAAATGAGCCGAGTCGGGTTGTTTACTGTTCGAACTCAGCTCGTGAGCTGTTTGAGCTCGGCTCCAAAAAAGTTTGAAAAACTTCGGCTCAAATCGAGCTTGAACTTGAGTCTAATAATGTTCAACTTGAAAGCTCGTCGAGTCTTACTCGAGCCAAGTTCAAGCTTAAAATTTTTCAAGTTGAACTCGAACCTGAAGTCAAGCTTGAACCGAACTCAAGTCGAACTTGAGCAAGAGCTTAAATTTTCAAGCTCGTTAAATTTCAAGCCGAGCTAAATTCTATCAAGCCAAATTTCGAGCTTAGCAGGTTCGAGCTCGGCTCATTTACACTCATACTTCCAATCCCAGCCCAGATCCAAACTGGTTGTGAATCGATTCTAATTCAAAGTGGACGCCACTTCTGCTAAGAATTAAGACTTCTCGCATAGGATACAGTTTATGATGAATAAGGACAATCAAGAAGAAAATGTACGTTAAACAAAGTTCAGTAATTCAAGGAATGGAATACCAACTGCCAACTATCACCGACACGAGTCAAGAAGAGCAATTTCTCATAAGAAAGCAGAAACAAACAAATAAACAAAACAAAAACATTAAATAAAGCTTTGAAATCGAATTTCATTTCATTGCACTTTCTTTTCAGGTGCATAAGTTGATCACAATCAAGTAAACCAGTTTAATTACAAAAAATTATTTTCAGACTGGATACTGTGCGCCAATCAGAAAGACCTTCAGCAGAGCTGAACGGAGGGTATAAAGAAAAAGAAGCCTGCCACTCTTCCTATAATACAAGCCGCACTATTCAAGCTATAGCTTTTATTTTACATATTTCATTGCCCAAAAAGCCAATTGGGAAAAGAATTGCTATAAAATCTATGGAAATCGCAGTTGGTCTTGTGTGTGCTACTCGACAAACCTAAATTTAAGTGGATTCCTTTTCAAATGAAATACAAGTGTTACGAATTTGTTACAGCAACTATAAACACATTCTATGGCCGTAGACTCAGTCCACGCTCAGCAAGTGCCTCACGCACCCGACGAGCAGCTTCTGCAGTGTCATTAAGAGGAGGGTAGCACCAGTTCTCTGAAATCTGAAAAAGAGACGAACATAAAACTCATTTGATTAAGTGCAGAAAGTCTGCAAGGAACTTCAATAAATCAACAACCTACCAACCCATGGAGATTAGAGCACATAATCTTAAATGCCCAAAAGGATGAAAATTTCCAGAAAAGAGAGACTTCTAAACCAGACAAGCACCTCAATACAGATGGTACAAAATGTCCGAGAAAAAAGCATAAAAAAAAAATGGTCCAAACTCAATTTATGGCCATTTTTCTTCCCTTATTTTGAGGAAGTTCAAAGCGCAAAAGCATTCCCTTTTCCTATTAAACAGCTAATGAAGAATCTATATAGTATCTGATGATGGAAAAGGTGGAGCAGAAACTAAAGGAAATGATAATAAAAAATACTATGAAAAATTTGCATGAGAAGTAAATGTTGGAAATTAATTTTTAGTTATTAGTATTTGGAAGTGGAAGTTGTATCGTTTTTTCTGTTACAGAGCATGCTGTTCGAGCAAGTCCATTGGTGAAGCAGATGGAAAGTAACGCTTGTAACATTAGAAAAAGCTACATATGAGTTAGGATGTTAAAAATGTAAGTTAAGGCTAAGTATAGGGCTGACAAAAGGCCATTCTTTTGTACTTAGATTAAGCAACCTCTCTTGCATCTAAGTGTTAAAAGAAATCAATGAAAGTGTGCTTTTGAAATTTCAATTACAGAACCACATTTGTGTGTGCTGTTTGTTTGATTTCGCTCTACCATTCTTCAACAGTAACAATATTCCCTCTCTTAAGATGAAGAAATGGTTGAGAAGCTACAAGAAAAAGAAGGTCGAGGAGAATAAATGACACATCTGAAATGCAATGCAAGTTTGGCAACAGGTCCAAAAATATTCCATGGCAGAAAAAATGATCACAATGCACCAACAATTATTCATGTCGAATTATTTATATGTGAGGCATATCCAATGCGCAACTTTTGTTATCTATAAATCTCTCCCCATGGTAATTGTTGGAAAAACTTCTCATTTGAAAGTGTAATAAGTAATAGGTGCATTCGTATTAGTAAATTTATTTTTTGGTCCAGGATGATACTTCCATTGTTCAAGGCAGACGGATTATGGAATGGAGAAAACTAATAAAAACAAACACCATCAGGCAAAGGTAAATGCTTAGAGAAAGAAATAATTTGACTGGAAAATCACCCAAAAGTATTCATCTTTAATCAGGTTGGAGTACAAGAGAGAAAAATAAATTTCAAAAACATCACTGCTAACATTTTTTTATTATGGTTACAGTAGCTTCAGTTTATTAGAGTCTCAGGGGAAAAAAAAGGAATTGGCACCAAAAGAAAATTGTCTGAAAAAATGACAGCATCATTTCATATAAATCTTAATTGCTCAGCCAAATCATATCTTGCAATTTCTTTTCCAAAAAACTCCACCCTCATGTCTGTGTTGTGTTGTTAATGAGGAAAGGGAGGTTGGATTTGGAGGGATGTGGATGTTATACAAATAAAGTACTTAAACAGGTAACCATCCATGCAATTGATAAGATGGGAAACAAAATTTGTAAAACCAGTTAAAAGGGAAAACTATAATTGTGTGCAATAACTATATGAAAAATATGTAGGTAAAACAATGTCGAAAGTTAAGAGGTTCTCTGTGTAAAAAAAAAAAAAAAAAAAAAAAAAAAAAAAAAAATGCTGTTAAAAAAAAAAAAAAAAAAAAAAAAAAAAAAAAAAACAAAAAAAAAAAAAAAAAAAAAAAAAAAAAAAAAGAATAGTGTACTTACATCTTCAGAACCTGTAAATGGCCGGACCACCCCTCGCTCACTCAAAGATTTGTGAAAGTCGGACAACTTCCATGTACAACGCTCAGATCCCATAACATATACTGGTTTCCTGCATAATAATTTTGGATTCTCAATTCAGTATGCGCTAAGTGTCAATTTGGCATCGAAGGCTGCTTTTGCAGCGTCTAAACTTTAGCAAACGATGGTCTGAGAAAAGCTGAATTTCTAGCTTTTTTGAACAATGGTTTGCTAGAAGCAGTTTAAAACATTTTTTAAAAAAAAAAAGAAACCAAGTAAACAAACCATCACAAAGGTTTACATATGATGATAAATTATAAATGATCCAAGTACAGATTAAACTTTCTCATTCATACCCAGTGCTGCATGCCTCACTTATCATACTGACTGAATCTGCTGTAATGACAAATGCATCTGCCCAAGCTAAATGTCCCATATGTGGATTTGGCTCTGGAGATAATGACATTCAATACTCATGAAAATTGTCAAGAAATATTTAGATTTAGTATATATTTTGAATTTATCGAAAGATACCTTCACCATCCCAGATATAAACTTTTGGATTATTTTTGAGTTCTTTGATTATTATGTATGAAACCTGTAGATAAAATTAAAACAGAAGAACAAAATAAATGTTGGGCTAGGCACTGTGAAAAACCATTAGAAATATGTGGTAATACCTTTTCAGGTGTCCTATTTGAGAAAGATATTCTGACACTCCCACATGTATCAAGCACGCTAAGTAGACTGGCAGTTAGCTGCTTTGCAAGTTCAGCTCCATAACGACAGCAGCCTATAAAAGTCATGGGCAATACATGTAAGAAAAAATACTTTAAAATTTTTCCAATTTATACTTTGCTTTGCATTGATATTAATTTTGATTAGAGCGGATATTGGAAACAAAGTTCATATAGCCGAATCCAGCTAGTTTGGAACTAAGGCTTAGTTGTAATTGTTGTTGTTATTGTCATTGTACATGTAAGAAATCTTACCAGCTAGTAGATATATCCATGGAGAACGGAATGAAAAAAAAAAAAAAAAAAAAAAGAATGAAAAAAAAAAAAAAAAAAACTATTACAAAGCCTTATATAAATCCCAAGCCAATAAAAAAACATGAAATTAAAAAAATAAATGAAGAAATAAGAACAGAAGCCATGGCGGTTTCTAGTTCAATATTCTTGTGTATAAAAGGGCCATGATGAGAATATAAATGAAACAATTTAAAGTTGAGATTCATCAACGGAATGAAAAAAAAAAAAAAAAAACATACAAAGCTTATATAAATCCCAAGCAATAAAAAAACTATGAAAATAAAAATAAATGAAGAAAAAGAACAGAAGCATGTTCGGTTCTAGTTCAATATTTTGGATAAAAGGAGGCATGATGAGAATATAATGACAATTTAAAGTGAAGATCATCGAGTTATGCAAAAAGTATCACCAATTTAAATTATAATTTATAGTTACTTGTTGGTCCTCCAATGTTAACCACCAGTAAGGGCTTCGGCAGATGTGCAAATTCATCATGCCACATGGTAGCAGCAGTTCGAAGTGCAGCATAATCAATTTGATGCAAAGCTCCCACAGTCAAAACCTAGATTTTAAAGCACAAAAAATGGGTTATAAGTTCCAACTGTTGATAGTAGCTAACATAAGACCAAGGGACGTATGAGCTTGACTAAACCAAACTGTGAAAGCAATATTATATGTGGGTACTTACCACATGCCCATCAGGAGGTTCACGTGGAGTAATCCACTTCCGAAGAAACCGAGGAACCTTCTGTTGTCCTTGAGGAGTCAAAGGATAATAATCATGGCGTGGAGTGATCACCAGGTCAAACCTGTTCAAATGTGACCTTGGATGCTGTATCTGCAAAACAAATAATCAATATAAAAGAAAGCTCAGAAATTTAAATGTAGCATTGAAGGAAGATCAAGAAATATTGTATATGAACTTTTAGAATCTACAGCTGGTCTTGAAGAACACTATGAAGTTCTTGTGCTGGTTCAAGCCTTGTAAATGGATACAAAAATGCACATGTGATAAAGAGATCCTCCAACTAACTGACTGCAGATTCTGTCAATTATTATCAACAACTAGAGCATAAAAAATAAAATTCATGAAAAGGACACATGCTATATTAGTTATCCAAGCAAACGTTATATTCAGGAGGTTATAGCTTAAACACACAGGATACATCATATTCGCCTATTTAATTGTCCTATGTCTAAATATGAAAGTTTGAAAATTTACCTTTTCCAATATGAACTATTTAGATATTTGTGTGCCTATCAGCAAATACATATAAAATCAATTGAGTAGATTGCATATACCACCTTGTATTCTTAGGGTGATCATGATCAAGATAAATTTCAAACATTAGGTTCATTAAAAATCAAGGTGGCTATTGGCATTCTGAGATGATGACTTGAAAGAAATGCTACCTTGAACAGTGTCAAATATGGAGCAATATTAATTAGTCATTGGTGATCCAGTGCAGCAAAATAATCAACCACAAATAAGGATAAGTCCATAAACAGCAATGAGGTTCTAGAAAATCTAGAATTACTAGCTGATTTGCCACAAATATATCCGAAAAGAATATAAATCAATGAAAAATGGTGTGAAATTGATAGCAATATTGATCTCAATGGCAGTTAAACGAGTGCCGAGAGAATACAAGGTCCTTCATGTTGCTTATCAGACAAAATTGACCCCATTAAATATATAAGCTTGACACACCAAATTTTCGAAAGAAAACTCTACAATTTAGACATTCAATCACATTGATAGTTTCGTCGGACATGTGATGAAGCTTGCAAATTGATTAATCATTAAATTACAATTTAATAGAAAGTAAAAGCTACAACGACATACCTGAACAACAAAAACATTTTCAGATGCTAATCGTTTTATAGAGCTGGCAACAGAAATAGTATCTCTGCCAGAAGCAACCACCAATAAAGGACCATGCCTGCAAAAGTTGGTGGTGTTATGAATATCTAGCCAGATATTATAATAAAAAGAAAATAAAACAGAAAGTTAGCACATCTTTATCCCCAGATACAAAGGTATTATACACTAATATAGGCAAAGGCAGTGACTAATTTTCGTTCAAGCATATAACCAGTAACTAATTATGAAAAAAAAATCCCACTATAATTACAAGCATGTGTTTTACCAGTGGCCAAAAAGACAGAAAGCTTTATTGACATTAACTATTGGGCATTCCACCCTACCATATAAGTTTAAATGCAAATCAGGCAGCAAGATTACTAGCTTAATGCCTTTGGCTGGCTAGGTATGAAAAAAAGAAATGAAAAGAATGTAGACCAGCATGCTTTATTACTTCAAAATAGGCTCGCAGAGTGTTGCTTTGATGCTTTTCAAAAATTATAGATTTGTATTTCTTTCTACATATGATGAACACAACATAGAAAAGGTTAGAACTGACGATCTCTAGAAATATATAATGGCATAGAAACTGGAAACAACAAAGTCAACTACCTCAACCATCCTCCATTCACATATTTCTAATCTGTATTAAAGTGATAAAATCTGAAGTTTAGCCCCAAAGTTAAATGTTTGGCAGTGGAAGCATATCATTTTAAAAGGTTTATCCCTTGAAGAACAGGGAAGCTGATTCAATCTATAGGACCTGCTATTATTCACATGTTTTAACACAAAGAGGAGGGAAAAGATTGATATCATGTCAACTCATATCTCAATTTCATGTCTTTTATTCACTTCCCATTTTTTTTACAATACAGTTCGGTTTTTGATCTCCATTATAATTTTCAGATCCCACAAACAACCAGTTCAGTAAAAAACATTTAATTCCACTTATGCAAAATTGATTTGGCAAAAGTGCATACAAATCTTTTTAGAGACACAAAAAAAAAAAATCACAGAAACAAATGGAGAAGTCGAAATAAAAACTTTACTTTTCGTAAGTCTCGCGAGCCATATTGACTATCTGCTTCACATCAGCTTCTAAAACCGCTGATAAACCCACACTTCCACCATTCTCCGAAGGAAAAGCCGACAGTTTTCTCCCTCGAACAGCAATCACGAGCCGCCAGTAATTATATATTTGCCTTACAATATAATCCAACTTCTTGTGAAGAGAAACCGGAAGCCAGTGTAACCATTCATTAACTCCTCCTCTTGGTCTCGTAACTCGCTATGTTAATGGAAACTTAAATTAAAACTTGGATATCAAAATAAACTTCCTTGTGCTAATTTTTAAGCAATCACAAATACTCACATATAAGACTTGATTATCAGAGAGCCCGAGAGCGCGAACCAAACCGATGCTCTGGTTCTCTGAACCGGGAAAACCGTTGCCAATAATGACGGCGCGTCTTATAACGCTATTAGCGCCGGTTTCGAAGATATCCGGCACGCCCGTAGGAGGGCCTGGTGGTTCCGGTAGCCTTATTGGCCTCATGAATGGAATTTAGTTATGATTGAAAACCCTAATTGACAAAACTGAGGAATTCAGGAACGTATAATGATGCTGGATTTGTTTGGAAAGAGAGATTTTGGCAGAGTTGGCTGGTAGCCTGGTAAAAACAGCAGCTGGTGAAGAAATGGCAGTTTCTTACTTTTTCTCTTCTTCCAGTGGCTTTCAAGTTCAAGGAACATGAATATGCATAATTTTCTTTTTATTGGGCCTCAAGGGAAAGCCCGTAATTATTTAAGCCCATTAACCAACACAGAGGGAAAATTCTCCCTCCTAAAGCTGACGAGACAATAGGACGGTTGATGATGGTTCGGGTTTACTCGGATATCCGACCTTCTAATGAGAGGGATTCAGGTAGTTGATCGATGGGTTTAAGACAGGTAGGAGTAATATTTTTAATATTCTTATTAGATTCGGATTCAACAGTTGGAGCACCCACTATTTTTTTTTTTTTTAAGAGTAAAATGATATTATTATTCATGGCTGTCAAGTCTCAAGCATCAACGATGCAACTAGGAGATGAAATAGTTCATTCCATTAAATTTGACGTTGAACGAACAGTCCTAGCAAGAGCATGAGCTACACTATTGGTAGATCGACGCATGAACACAACCTTAATAAGATTAATCTCATTGACAAGAGATTTTCGATCATCAATGATAGAGCCAAAAGAAGAAATATCAAGATAATATTATAATAATACTTAATACAAATATTATATTTTAAAAAAAAAATTACAAAATTAAAGTAATATATCTAATTTTGTACAGGTATTTAAATGGTTCAAAATAATAAAGTGAACTTTTAAATTGGTTTGGCTACCTTTTTTTTCTTTGTAAGCATATAGATTCAAATGATGCATTTTAACCATACACTCGATCTGTTTCAGAAGAAAAGATTTTTGAGCTGGATGATAAGTTAAAGAGATCAATTTGACTCTTTTGAAAATGTTAAAATTATTGAAATTGTCAATTTATCTTTATATAATCCAAAGATGAAGGCAATTTATCTTTAATATGATATTATTGAGGATTTAACTACTGATGTTGAAATAGAAAATTAAGTATTTTTTATTTTATGTTTATAAATTATTGTGGTTAGTTATTTCATTTTAATATTTAATAAATTATTTTTTTAATATAACATGTACTGAGCATATGGTGTTCTATTTTTTTGAAAATTACCATGTCTAGTGTTCATGTTGTGTCGTGTCTTGTGTCTGAATCCTTGCGATCTAGATGATAAGAAAACTATATTCTTCATATTTGAAAAGAAAAATTTCCCCTTATGTTGCATACTACAGTCAGAAACTTGTCTTTAACACGCCAAAGGAAATCTTATATTTCAAGCATTCCATAACTACAAGCTCAATATCTCCAACTCTCAAAAGCTCTCTCTTTCCTTCAAGTGATTGAGTCGTCAGATTGAAGCGAAGCTAACACAGTTTGATTTCTTTTAAAAAACCAATACAAAACAAAATAGAAATAATATATTATACATTTGCTTTGCATTGTGAACTTTCTTTGACTTGAAATTATCAAAATTATAAATCTCTATTTTGGTTGCTAATGGTAAAGACGGCAAGAGGAGGAAGTTGACTAGTCAATCCGACTTATTTTCACCCATGATTTCTTAATTCAGGAGTAATCACTTTAAAATTTCATATTTTTAAATTGTACTTTAAAAGTGATTCGTAACATAAAAGTGACTCAGGTGAATTTTCGAAAAAAAATGGCCGGAAACGTGACATAATACTACATGTGGCATATGATGTGGAAAAAAAAAATACAACTTAGCCAATTCAACTGCATGGGTGGATTCCACGTGGACATAAATATAAATTTTCTGTTTTGCCCTTAAGAATACCCAAACCTCTCAACCCATCCCCACCTCGTTCGACAGCACAAAACCACCTCCTTCAACATTCACAGTAAGACTTCCTTCAACACCACCATAACCATCTCCTTCAACCTTCACCAAAATCATTATTACCGCCATCTTTTCTCTAAATAATAAAAAAGACAAGAAATAATAATATCCAATGATTAAATATTCTCAGAAACAACCAAAAAGAAGATCTCACTTGTCACCATTAAAAAAAAGAAGCAATGATCTGAAATAGTGACAGAAAGCAAGGAGAAAGCGAGACTAAAACAACTCATATTGGAAGAGTTAAAAAAAAAAAAAAAAAAAAAAAGCAAGATCTGAAAGCAAAAGTTTTAAAAATGCGAAAAAAAAAAAAAAAAAAAAAGGAGCAAGATCTGAAAGCAAAAGTTTAAAAAAATGACGGTAGAGGGGATGCAAAAGCAGGTCATGCTTGTTACTAGAGTCATCGTCGGTGGATTCATTGGTAACCTCCACTGTGAAGGTTTTTTTTTTTTTTTTCTCTTGACAAATCTGCTTCCTCTTTCATGCCCACTTTTCTCCTCCTCTAATCTCGTCACCTTCCATTCAATGAAGATTTCTTTTTATTATCTCTTACTCTTGATCTCTCCTCCTTTAACCTCTTCACCTTCCATTCAATGAGGATTTCTCTTTATTATCTCTTCATCTTGATTGTCGATTTTTATTTTTTAATTGGTTATGAAAATTTGAAGAAATTTTATTTAGATAAGAGATGATGGTGGTGGTTTTCCTGTCACTGTAAATGTTGAAGGAGGTGGTTTTGTGGTGCTGAAAGAGGTGGGAATGAGGATCGAGAGATTTGGGTATTTTTAAGGGCAAAATAGAAATTTTCTATTTATGTATATCACCGATGTAGCTGAATTGTCTGAGTTGTAGTTTCTTTTTCCACGTCATATGCCACTTTGTGGTGCCATGTCAAGTTTCCGACAATTATTTATTGGGAGCTCACCTGACTCATTTTTATGCTGTAAACACCAAATTTTAAAATATAATTTTAAGATGCGGAACCTTAAAGTATCACTGAACAGAGGGATCGTAGATGAAAATAAGCCTTGTCAATCATGTTATTTGAACCTCAACTTTCTTTGTATTTGGATTTATTTTCAGTTAATTTATATGACCGATTCGTTTGGTATAAATTTTGGTTTTATTGCTAACATATATGCGGTTTGTAACTGCAATATTTCTAAATCTTAAGCTCAGTTTATTTCTGAAAAATAACTTACAAATGATCTATTTTTCGTTATTTGGTTACAATATTAAAAATTAGTTAAAAATATTAAAATTTTTAATTTATAAGACTACAAAAATATTACTAATAATAATACAAATTTAGTGTTTAAAAATTTTATTATTAAATATGAGAAGAATGCAAAAAAAAAGTTAAGTTATGAAAATCGCCGATGATCGACGGTAATGGCTGATGTTGAATGGTAACTAGTGGTAATGGCTACCAATAATTAATAAATTAAAAAATATGAATGTATAAGGTTATAAGTTTGTTAATATTTAGAAAATATTTTATTTTTTTGAAAATGAAAGTCATTTTCCTTAAACATGACTTAATTTTCCATGCCCCAAACATCAGAAATTATAAAAAAATATTTTCCTATAAATTATTTTACAGAAACAGACGAAACTTAATTAGTATTCTTTTATTCAACAATATAGACATCATTCAAACGCTGAAACCTTCCAAATTATTGAGTTTTAGTTAAAAAATTGCTGTGATTAGTTGAGAATAATTAGATTATTAGCTCAAACAATTTAGATTAGCATCAGCATTTCTCATCACATACTAACCAGATACATTGGCAATGAAAAGTGATAACATCGATGATGCCTTGGGAATATCTATCTAAGCCTTGGCACAATCCAATTTGAATCGAAACTGGATTGGAACCGGTCCAGCTTTTGATCAGCCTAAAATCAAACCAGAAAATACGGTTTCAAAACAAACTGGAACGGGCAGTTTATGAGTCAGTTTTGGTTTCTATTTTGGAATCAAAATCATCTGGAATCGGCTGGTTTCAGCAGAGGTTCCAGCTATTTCCAACAAGGAAAAAAAAAAAAAGCGTCAGAACCGGTGGAAACCAAAACCGAACGGGTTCCTTAACCAAGAGGTCCAAAACCGAATAGACAGTTCCATGAACCAAAACTATAGGTTCTAAGAACCAGCTGGCCATAGGAAGGTCATGAAGAGCTGATTTTGGGAGTAAATGCATATTCAAGATCATGCAAAGCTGATTTGTTAAGATGATTCCACAAGAACATTATATGATCACATTAATGTTATAATTATCTCTACCAATAGAGTCTCATTTATTAATTAAAGTGTCTTTACAAGATCTTCTACCTTGATTACTGAACAAGAAGTAAGAATTATTCTGATAGATTAACACAAAACAATATCATTAAATAGTTTCCAAAGCTAAATTACCCATCATTTTAACTAAAGGCACAGGACATTTAGTAACAATATCATATCTTGATAAATTAGAGGCATTACCAAATAAAGATAAGCTCAACAAAGCAAGCTCTCTGAGAGACAATCTTGAAGAGAGGAATCCTTGCCAATAATAAGGATCCAAATCAAAGAAAGCATCAAAGAAACTTCTTGTCCCTTTCAAATTAAGTTTCAACAAAGTCTCCATTCCAAAAGAGTAAAATTCTCTTACACACCTTCTATCCAATGGCCATAACTCATTCCACACTTTATTATAAAGTGGTCTTCCTCTAATCATTCTGGTTGAACCAAGACACTCTACAATGGCATTAGCCACAAGAGGGGCTAATGCCATTGATCGAGCCATCATATACCCAGTTGAGGGGTGAACTACACCTGAAATACCTCCAATTGCCATCACATTTTGAGGGATTATAGGAAGAGGTCCTCCCATTGGAATTAAACATTTCTCATCTTCTATAACTTTTTTCACTCTAATCCCCAAATGCCTTAATCTTGCAACCATTCTTGTTTTAACTTCTTTATATGATAAAACAGGGCGACTAACTAAAGAAGTCTCTTCTAAAAATATCAAATTGGAATCAAATGGCATTGCATACAAAAAAGTTGGAATCTTTGAATTGCTAGAACGCAAATAAGGCTCATTTCCCATATGGGTATCTCTCCAATCCATAAGAACCATCTTATCTAAGTCAAATGGGTGATAATCTACTTCAGCTAAAACTCCATGAGCAATTTGATACCCATGATTTCTTGGCTTACTATACTCAATAAAATTACTACCAAAACCACTTGCATCAACAATTAAGCTTCCTCTAATCTCATTCCCATCATCACAAATAACCGAAGATTGAAACTCTTGATGGTCAATTTTCCAAACTTTAGCCTTATGAAATTTAACACTATTAGAAACACAGTTCTCCATCAATTTTGTCTTCAATTTGTTTCTGCTAACACGACCATAAGGCCGGTCTAAGTACTTGGTCTTTTTATCATCTATAAAAACACAAGCCATAGACCATGTTTTATCCAAACAATCAATAAGCCCCAAACTCTCAAACTCATCAACCCAAACACCATAATTATTAGGCCACATACAAAGTGGTGAAGGATCAACACAGCATACCTTAATTCCAAAGCGAGACACTTGCTCTGCTAAGCGAAGACCAGCCGGTCCAGTACCAACAATAATTACGTCAAAGGAAGATCTACAAGAAGGATCAAACCATGAGAGATCAAAATCTAACAACTCGGGCTTTGATTCAGGTTTCAAGTCGAGAAAGTTTCCATATTTGCTGCTGTGGATCCTATGGTGGGATTTTCTTGAAGGTTTGATATTGGTTTTTGGAGAAGAGAGAATATGACTAGATGGATGGTTGATTTGAGAAGGTTTAGTTAGAGGAGGAGGTGAAAATAGCTTGAGAAGAGTACCCATTGACTGAAGAGAGAGAATAGGAAGTGCAAGTTCTGTCAGTGGAAATGAAAGTTTTGGGTTTTAAACAAAAGAAACGAGGTGGGAGATGCGGACAGAGGGAATTTCGAAGTGATACAAAGAAAGGATACCCTTACTAATTTTAGTGCAGTTATTGTTTACAAAAGGAGAGCTTCATTACAAAATTGGATTGATTCCAAATTTTTAAGATGAAAAACAATCTGAATTCATTAGGGTGATCAATTCTCGGAACGAGAACTAAATCAAACCGATTCAATTTGATCAGACTTAAATAATTTTAGAAATTCATTCATTTAAATATATAAAATCATTTAATTTTTTATTTTTGATTCAATTACTATATATAACTAATGGAATAATTCAAAATATCAAATTTGATTGCTGCTTGTATTTTGTAATGAAATTTCGAATTAAATATTAAAATGAAAGGTGTCCTATAACAACTACTCCAAAGAAAGCCACAAATCACCGTTGGAGAGTATTTTAATTCTGTGACCGCCCAAGTGGAGTTGTCCCCCACCATGATCAATCTATAGAAAATTAGAGATGAACACTTGCCCTTCATTCATACAGATGCAGAATAAGCTGTGATTTCTTTAACTGTGCGTTAGGCAACAGGGGCCCACCTAATATGTCATTTCGTGAGTTTTAGGCAAGAGGGGCCCACCTAATAGTCATTTCATGAGTTTTAGGCCGGCACTTCACGGCGGTTGAGTCAACAGTCAGATTTTGATTCATTGAACTGCCGATTTGAAATGTTTAAAATTTTGAATCAAAACTAATCTTTAAACTTTCGATTCTGGTCCGGTTCCAATTCCGGCACGGTTTCGATTCTGGCACGATTTCGATGAATCGACGGTTTGAACTACAATTCCGATTCGACTTTGATATTACGCAAATTTTTTAAAAAAATTAATAAATTTTGATTCCAAATTCAAAAATAAATAATAATTTTAAATATTTTTATTTTATTAACTAAATAAATTATTATAAAACTTACAAATTCCGATTCCGACTTTGATATTACGCAATTTTTTAAACATTAATATATTTGATCCAAATTCAAAATAATATAATTTTAAATTATTATTTATTTTCTTAACTAAATAAATTATTATAAAATTTAGTAAAATAAAAACCTCTATTAACTACACTTAAGAATATTATTACATTAAATTTACAAATTTTCTGCTAATCAATTAATTATTACATTAAATTTACAAATTTTGCTAATTCATTAATATAAAAAATTATAATTTTTTTTATTTTGGGCTTGAATTAAATTAAAATTGAAAAATTTTAATTTAATTGCCTACATATCCTCTTAGAAATTAGAGGAAATCAAAGTTCACATTTTTTTTTATTTCTATTTTTCATTAATGACCCGGAATCATCATCATCACTTGAATTTTGTTGGTCTTGAGTTCTCAAAGCTGCTCTAATCCAATAGTTATTAAATCCAATTTTTTCACCAAATGAAAAAGATAATCATTCCGTACAAATCATTTTAGCCATTTCAATTTTATTAGTTTCATCACTATATTTAGATACAGGAGTGTTAAGATCATCATACGTTGATGACGATAATTGAGTTTGAATTAGATCCATTCCTAACTCACTTGTATAATGTGATTTTAAATGCCTATTGAGGATGTCATAGCTTCCTCTAAGCTTGAATACATATTTTGTTTTTTTTGCATAATTACAGTGAATAGCATTGATTTCTCCGTTATTTTGAATAAATTTTGTAAAATGCTCCTTGAAAATATCTAATTTTGGTGGTTTACCTATTAAAATATTAGGAGATGTTGCTTCTTACGGTGGATGATCACGAATATAACGGTTCTCAACTAGAGTTTAATATTAAATTTCATCATTAAATTGTGGTGAAAAATCAATCAATGGATCGTTTGAATCAATTTCTTCCAAGTTTTGAGCAATTCGCTTTCCCTTTGAGTTTTGTGAATTATGTGCCATGTTTTTAAATGGAATTATGGAAAAAAAAATGAATAAATGGAATATAAAATTAATGGAATGAGTTGGAAATTATTATTGGAATTGAGTGGAAGATTATTATATTTTCCAATTTACTTATTATTTCCAAATACTAAGAAAATTATTAAAAAAAATCAAATGAAGTAAATTTATGAATAGAAAATTTGAGATTAGAGAAGGAATTTAGAATTGGACGTAGAAAAATAAAAAATAAACAATAGATAATTCTAATATTAAGGAAAATAAAGGACTAAAAAAAGTAATGAACTATGGAAATTTGAGAAAATTTTAATTGAGAATAAGAGGAGAGTTAGGATATAATTGGTTGTGAAAAAAAAAATCAACTCATTATATTTATACATATTTTTCATTTTTTAGTTTTTCAAATTGTCCCTTATAACAGAAAAATAATAACTATATTTTTGGATTAGTTAAGTTATAATAAAAAATTTATAATTTTGATTAAAAATGAATAAATTTATTTTAGCCAAAAATAAAAAAAAATAAAAAGTCACCATATCATATCAAAAAAAAACTATCTATTGCACTATTTGAATTAAAATGTAACTCTTTTTTTTATACACTTTAAGTTTTTTTTTTTTTTTTTTTTTAAACACCAATCATCTTAGTTCCCCTGTACCATTTTTTTTTTTTTTTTTTTAAAAATCAACTATTCATGTACCATTTTTTTATAAATTAAGTCAAATCATGTGTATTTTTTTTCACCATTTTTTATAAATTATGTACCATTGTGTATTTCTCTTTACGATAAATCAAATTAACTACAATCAAATTAAGTGATATAATAAAAAAATTTTAAGCTACAATTTTGTTTGTGCATCCAATTCGAACCGGACTGGAACCTTCGGTTTTGGACAAGCTGGTTTTGGACAAGTTCAGATTCATATTTTAACAATCACATGAATTTTGACTGCCCTTAAATCGCAGGTTCCGATTTAAAATTTTGAACTTCCGGTTCCAGTTTAAAATTTTGAACTTTCAGTTCCGATTCGATTTCAATTCGTCTACAGTATAATTCGATTTCAATTAAAACTGAACCCGTGGCCATGGCTACCTTCTTGAATCTCTTGCTATATTTTTGCAAACAGGTAGCTAATCACAGAAGCCAGGTCAATTTTTACTCCTTTTAGCTTCTGTATGATATTACTAATAATAATAATAATAAATCTTGAAATATAATAATACTCTGTTATAAAACCTCAGTACTTGCCTTGTTTATTTGTCATTTATCATCGTTTTTATGCCATTGCTAAAGCAAAAAACTTTTCTTATCCAAAACATGAGAGACAGGGAGAAGATAAAAGGCAAAGGTAAGAAACAAAATTAAGGGCATGTTCCGCATAATTAGGTATTTCAATAATCATTAACTGTTTTAGTAATCTTTAGCTATTTGAGTAGCTTTTCATAAAAAACTAAAAACTAAACTGTTAGATTTTTATACAAATTATCTTAACCTTTAAAAACTAGTTCAAATACTATATTTTCAAACTCGATAAAAATAGTGCTAATCAAAACGTTAAAAGCTATTTAAAAAACTGCTACGGAACACAACATAAACCAAAAAAAAAAAAAAAAAAAAAACAAAACAACTTAACCAAAAAAAAAAAAAAAAAAAAATCAAGATCTATTTACATGGGATACTGAAATATAAATACTATGTCACAAACCAAAAAAAAAAAAAAAAAAATCAAGATCTATTCACATGATACTGAAAGATAAAACATGTCACAATATATAAAGGAGAAACAATTAAATCATAGTTTACAGACTGAACCAAATAATTTTGTAGATGTATAAAAGTATCTGAAAGCAGAATGTTTCTTAACACTAGACAACACGATACAAAAAAATCCGGGCATTTACAGTATACACAGATGCTTCATGGGAAAAGAAAAGGGAGCTGAACTCACTTCTCAAATATATATCACTTATACATATGCAACAACAGCATGTCAACCTACAGTATTATTTCTGGCCACCCTGTAGAGGTATAGATTTCACAACATGAGCTTCAAAATTTTGTAACTGATTTTAGCTCCCCTTTCTAATCATAGCATATAACTGGTTCTCACGATTCATTATAACATACCTCCGAAGAAATTCAACAACAGTAAAACAACCAATTAAGATCTGCATGAAGGTAGAGTGATGCCTCCACAACAAGCAGCAATTATTATGTACAGCAACAGAACAATCACGCATGTCAACAGGGCCCTGTCATGTAAATAGAATTTTCACCAACTTAAACTACCATTTTAACAATTAAGTCAACAATTTTAAAACATTTGTACAGAATTGCTTTAATTGCTGCATGAATGTTGTCGGTTCTGTATTTGAACACCATAATTAACAAATGTGAGACACAGAATAATTGAGGTGTGGTAGAAATGAATGCTATTTTCTGATAGAATACCCTAGTGGTTAGAACACAAAAATTCCAAACTGGAGAACCAAATTCAAACAACTGAATTGCATGCTGTACATGGATCAAATAAGCTAACCCCTGACATGTAAAAGGCCATCTTCTGCAATTGTTATGCAGGCGGCTAGTTTGCAACTTACATCTATTAATCTTCCTATGGACTAACCAGAGGCACAATCAGCAATTTCAACACGAGTTATGGTAGGTTTGCATAGACAAATAATCTTTTAGTATTTTATTAAGATTTAAGAGCAATGGGAAAAAAAAAAAAAATCTAGGGAAAACACATCCCAAGTCCCTATACCATGCTCAAATATGCAATTGAGCATGGTAATTTTTATTTTACTAGGTAAAAAATTTTATTTTTGGAGTTAACCGACCTTGAAAGAAAAATAATGTATAAAATAATGAAAGAAAAAAACAAATTACTTGACTTTTATAATCTTTAATCATTTTACTAAAACAGCATGCAGAGATTAGAGAAGGTGGGTAGTGTGTAAGGTTTGAAATTGGGGAATATTTTTTTCATTACAATATTTAATTAATAAACTAACTAAAAACGGGTTTATTAATAAGGCAAAATATTTAAAGAGAATAAAATAATAGTACTTTTTCGTCTTGTCAGCAATTATACATAATTTTGTTCCAAAAGGATTGATTTCGTAAAAAAAAAAAAAAAAAAAAAAAAATATACATAATTTTGTCTCCAAAAGGATTGGATTTCGTAAAAAAAAAAAAAAAAAAAAAAAATTTCAATTACCTATTCCAATAAACGAAGAGAAATAGGGATTCCACTTACACATTTTTGACTTTGATACCATAGTTAAAAGGAACTCAAGATTTGCATTTGGTCCAAAAATATAATAAAGGTTTTAATTTTTTTATTGTTAAAAATACAAAAAAAAAAAAAAAAAAAAAAAAATTTAATACCTATTCCAATAAAACGAAAAATGAGGGATTCCACTACACATTTGACTTTGAATACAGTAAAAGGACTTCAAGATGCATTTGTCCAAAAATATAAAGGTTTTAATTTTGATGTTAAAATAGCTAATACACATTTAGCAATCTATATCAATTAGTCCTCTATATTATTTATTTGTTTATTTGAGAATGTAGGCCTCTATATTATTTAACTAAGAAACACTTCAAATCTCTGCATATTTTACAATAGACAAGATCTCCCTCTCTCTCCCTCTCATTTTCTAGCCAAATAATTGTATTGCTTTCTTTTTTCTTGGGACCACTCCCAGAACACTCATGTTTTAAATGGCTCTGACTATTCCTTTTTATCCCAGCATATGGGTATTGTGCTGGAGTTAAAGTAACATAGTTTAGAGCTTTAAGCAGCCTCCAGCATCTTTCAATCAGAAACCAGCAAAAATAGAAGAGGGGGGAGTGTGTGTGTGTGTGTGTGTGTAGTGGCAGTTCTGAGGAGGAATGGGGATTGTTTTCGCGCTCATATACCATCATCATAGTTAAAGATGAAAACTAAATGTGGCAGTAGAAAAGCATAAGCACTTACAAGAGTTTGGCGTTTTTCATCCAAAGTGCTCTCCGAAGACGCTTAGACTGCTTCCTGAAGTGAAATGCACTGTCTTGCATTGTGGCAGTTTTGTCAACAAGAAGCTCAATCCGATCACCTCTCTCTAGTATTTTCTCAATGTTTTCTACCATGATTGTTCGAATCTGCATGAACATTTCAGGGAATCATAAATCACAAAACAATACAACTGTAACCTACCAACTCCCACTCCACACGCTCCAGCTCTCCCCTCAAAGAAATCCTAAAAGGAAAAGTAAATAGAGGAGAAAAAAGTTCACAATAACACAATTCAAAGAGTAAAAAGTTAAACAGATCTGATGCATAAATACATCTCCTATTTGTATCTGCTTATACAAACAGCCAAAGGTTTAATATTGATATTGGCAGTCAACAGATAAAGAATGGCTCAAAATCACAGAAATATCAATGCAAGTAAATGCTAGTTTTTAACTTCTGCCCAATCTACTTCCATTTCCCAGCACATTGATATAGATGAAACTGACCATTTGAAAGGATTGACCATAAAAATCTAAATGATTTAGTAGTTAATTAGAACTCAAATGGCTGATGCAGTAAATGCTCTTGCTTTGTATTATGCAGACCGAGCCCTATATATTGAACCCTAAGATTTCTTCTTAGACAGCTTATAGGCCTTTGATTTACTTCACAGTCCCAAAAGCTTGGAAAAATGGCATAACTTTCATGCCTTGACTGCCGATCAAAAGTGCAACATTGAGAACAAGACATGTTTCTATAACCACAACATCAATTAGTGATGCATTGACACTATAAAATGATTGTGATATTTTATCGTGGAATAACTGATATCTTTCTCTGGTATCATCAGGAGCAATTTATATAAATCACTCCACACACCCCAACTCTCCCCCAAAAAAAGATCCTAAAAATAAAAATAAATAGAAAAAAAACTCATGATAACACAATCCAAGGAGTAAAAAGTTCAACAGATCTGATGCATAAATACATCCTATCTGTATCTACTAATACACAACAGCCAAAGCTTTTTGAAATTGACAGTCAACATATAAAGAATGGCTCAAAATCACTGAGATATCAATGCAAGTAAATGCTAGATTTAACTCCTGTCTAATCTACTCCAATTTCCCAGTACATTGACATAGATGAAACTAACCATTTGAAAGGATTTACCATGATATAATTCTAAATGATTTAGTGGTTAATCAGAACTCAAATGGCTGATGCAGTAAATGCTTTTGCTTTGTATTATCCGGATCGAGCCTTGTGTACTGAATCCTAAGATTTCTTCCTAGGCAGCTTATAGGTCTTTGATTTCCTTCACAATCCCAAAAGCTTGCAAAAATGGCATAACGCCTTGACTGCTGATCAAAAGTGCAATATTGAGAACAAGACATGTTTCTACAACCATCACATCAATCAGATGATGCATTGACACACTAAACTGAATGTGCTATTTTATTGTGGAATAACTGATATATTTCTTAGGTATCATCAGTAGCTATCTAACATATTACTAGCCCCTCTCTCTCTCTCTCTCTCTCTCTCTGTCTCCCAAATGCACAAATAAATTGCGTCTTGCAAGTAGAAATAAAATAGTAAATAAGCCAAAAATGTAAATATAACTCAAAATATGTGCCACTCAGCACTAGCCACTATGGTGATTGGTGACCAAGGTATTTGAGTTTGAGCTCAACATTAAACAAGTGATTTTTCTCGCCCTTTTTCTTTTTTTGCAGGTTCAAAGAGCCGCCACCCGATGAATTAGGGAAAAATTACTATCTCAATAATTGTTGCGTATGGATTATCATACAAAAATAAAGGGCCATTGAAGAAGAAAAATAAATAGAAATTAGATTTCGAAGGACAGTGAAGGTACTTACCTCACCAACTTCACCCCTTACACGATTGAGAGTATCAGCACTAGGGTTGCTAGAGAAAAATTCCATTTGCTGATGCAAGACCCTCGAAAACTCATCATTCATTGCATAAGCAGGTGCATATTGGGCCACTCTACCATAGTTTTTCATGAACCTCATATGAATATCCTCCAAGTATGAAAATGGAATTCTCCCTGGACCGACATAAAATGAAGGATAAATAATAAAATTCATCCTCTTAGGCTTCTGAGTTTCACATGGCTACTATGGAGTAGCGAATTTACTAGATAAAATGTTCTGTAGCTGGAAATGGTCAGCAGAATTAACTAAACTGCTTTCAATCTAACATATTTGTAATATTTGAATATAAAGTTTAGAACTTTTTTTTCTAAAAATCATATTACTTATTTATGTTGTATATGCAACATCATGGGGAAGCGGTTCTTAGCTGAACTTCGTCAATTGGAACCTCAACATTTCCAATGAGGGTAATACAACAAATGAAAATGCAATAGAACTTCAATCTCAGGAGAGGGGAACTAAACAGCATAAGAAACATAACATAAGATTGGCTCCTAATAATAACCAAATTAACTTCACTAAGCATGGCCACTCTAACTTAGATAACCACACTTCCATATAAATAAAGCAAGGAGAGATCAAATTTGAAAACGAAGGGGAAAGTTACGCACTGCCGAAGGTATCGTTAGCCATACAGAGAAAAGTGAGGCCATCGGATCTGAGTATGTGAAATATGTAACGATCTTGGGAAAAGCACAGCCTAGAATCGACCTCCGATGGGAGCTTCTCGAGGATCCGCCTAGCCACTGCCCCTGTGTTCCCTGCCACTGCGCTGAACTCCGACAGCACCACCGTCCCTCGTGCCACTACAGCGTACAGGATCGCCATCTCTATGGAAATTCCGCGACCAGCTAATATTATTCGTATGCCTGTTTAATTTGATGTTGGCATAGAAGAGAGGTTTCAGTTACGGTGATGAAGGGAATGAATTTTAGGTCTGTTTTATTTTCAGAAGAAAAAAAAAAATCTGTAAATAAGCAATAACAATTAACAAGAAAGGAAGTTAAGTTTGAGGTGGTGTAGAGCTGGCGACCAGGCCAACGGTAAGTCCACGCCGGGCCGGCTTTATTTAGGTTTTTGGGATTTGGTATAATGACAGGCGGTGTATATAGTGCTTGTGCTACCTACCTGTAAGTCGTCCAGTGACATTTGCTTTCACAACCAAATTCAGTTCTGTTTTTGTCGATCCATAATTAGTCCCCAAAATGTGGGGGAGAGAACAACAGTTTGAGTATTTCTTTCCTTACGTGTTAAGTAAACATTAAATTGATTAATTAAACGTTAAAATTACTACTCAAAACTTAAAAAATTAGTGTTGAGAAATCCCTCTGCATATTATCTTTTGAAAAAAAATCTGATAATCAATGTTGTCTGATTGGTTTTTTATTAGTGTAAAGGGTGAGAGGTTTTAAGAAACCTCTCGACTACAAGAACTTTTACCGATTTGTTGAGTAAAGAAAAGCTACCCCAATTGTATAACCATCATGTTAGTTTGGCACATTGGACCTTCAAATGAATAAAACAATATATATATATTTTTCATTGGTTAGGATGGTTGAGCAGTTTAATTAAGGTGCTGAACTCAAGTTTTGATCTTTGTGAGAGGGTATAGGTTCAAATTGCACTTTTGATAATTTAATTTAATTTTATTTTTGCATTTTTTCTTTTTAATAATTTTAAACAAGTTTAGAGAAGAGTCCCTAGAGACATTCATAATTAATAAAAATAACTATTTGATTAGCATTTTTTTTTGTCTTGCTTTATCTGCAATTTCATTTTTGAATCACTAGTTTCCTCTATTTCGTTTTTTATTAGCATGGATGCTAGTCACTATCAATGTTGGGTAGGGATATGCCTTGCTTTTTCTCCAAGTTTATTTTTGAATCACTGGTTTCCTCTATTTCATTTTTTATTAGCATGGATGCTAGTCACTCTTCTGCATCAGTATTGGGTAGGGATTTGTTAAGCTGCCTTTGGATGAGGAAGAGGTTGGAGGTGTTGTCTTAAGGGATAGAGATTTGGGGAAAGCACAGGGGGATGAAAACTTATGTCTGGTTGGTACTTTTAATACTGATAAACCTGTTAATTTCTTAGCAATGAAACAAACCATGGCTTCACTTTAGAGACAAGGGAAGGGAGTTTTGATAATAGAATTGGGTGGTGCTTGTTTCTTATTTTAGTTTTCCTATGACATTGACCTGAATCGAGTGATTGATATGAGTCCTTGGACTTTTGATCAACATTTTTCTTTGGTTTAAAAGACTGGAAGCTTCTGCTCAAGCACATACTTGCTTTATTTCAAACTCTTATCTAGCTACAGGTCCATGAACTTCCAATTGGATTTATGTTAGAAGGAGTAGTTGAGATTATAGGCAATTATGTAGGTTGTTTGTGCATTTGGATCCTAAGAATTTCAATGGCATCTGGAGACAATATATGCGTATTTGGATACAGCTTGATGTTCATAAGCCTTTGAAGAGACGAATGAAGTTGAAGAAGGTTGGAAGGGGATTAGTGTTGTATCTCTTTCAAATATGAAAGATTACCAGGCTTTTGTTTTCTATATGGCATTATTGGCCATCTGATCGCTTCTATCCCCAATTATTTCAAATTCAAGATAATTCTATTAAATGTCCCTATGGTGCTTGGATGAGAGAATAGATTCACTAGAATTAGATTCTAATAGAGGAGAAGTGGCCGAGGGATGCTCCAACACTGTAAAGAGAGGAGGAGAATGGTGGCAGTACTGGTCCAAGCATATTGAAGGCCAGTTTCGTCGGGTAGAAGCATGGAACGTGGTAACTCCTATAATAATGGTAGTAGTGGGGCTATCTCTTTGATAAATTCCAGTACGAGTGGGTTGCTTATGGGAAGAAATATGCTACAAGATATTTCTAAATAGGAAGTAGTTATTACTAATTCTAAAAGGAGCCATGAGGAATTGGGCTCAGTTTCTATGGCCCAAGATATGCAAGTAGGGACTGAGGAGGTTCAAGCAATTATAATCCAAAAAAAAAAAAAAAAAATGGTGCTTGGAATGACGAGAATAGCATTTCAACTAGAATTAGATTCTAATAGAGGAAGAATTAGGCCCGAGGGATGCTTCCCAACACATGTAAAGAGAGGAGGAGGAAATGGGGTCTGGCGATAATAGTACTGGTATCCAAGCATATTTGAGTCTAAAGGGCCAGTTTCGTTCTGTCTGGTAGAAGCTAACCTTGACGGTATTGCGTGTAGGTATACGTCCTACATTATGGTTAGTTAGCTGGGGCTATCCTCTTTCTTGATATAATATCCCGGAGACTGAGTGGAGTTGTGTTGTTATGGGAAGAGATTATGCTTTTACAAGATAGTTTCCTAAATAAGAAAAGTAAGTTATTACTAATTCTAAAAGGAGCCATGAAGGATTGGGCAGAGATTCAGTTTCCTATGGACCTCCCAAGATATGCAAAGTAGAGGTATTGAGCGAAGGTTCAAGAAAGCAATTATAATCCATAAAAAAAAAAAATCAAAATAGCAGGAAAAAAAAAAAAAAAAAGCAGATTAGAGGCGAGCCTGCATACATTATGAGTTGCTTGAGTTGGAACTGTGTGGTTTGGGTTGCCCACAAATAGTTAAAGTCCTTAAGGGCATCATATTCACTCATAAGCCCACTTTAGTTTTTCTTACTGAGACTAAGTCTATGTCTGATAGGGTGGAGGAGGTGTGTAAGTAGTTAGGGTTTGCAGGCTCATTTTTAATGGATCGTGTAGGTTAAGGGGTGGATTAGCGATGCTTTGGAAGGATAAAATATGATGTTTGTTCTTGGCTCCTTTTCGTCTCATGTTGACGTTACTATTAAAGCTCATGGTCTCTATGAATGGAGGTTCATTGCCTTTTACAGAGCACCAGATAGGAGTCGCAGAGGTGAGCCTTAGAACCTTTTACATTCCCTCAATTCCCAATCGCAACTTCCATGGGCATGTCTTGGAGATTTCAATAACATTTTGAAGGCTTTTGAAAAAAGAGGGAAGTGTTCTCATCCTTGTTGGCTCATGCAGAATTTTCGTCAAGCTACAGGGATAGTGGCTTGAGAGATATTAGGATGGTGGGTTACTCGTTTACATGGGAGAAGAGTCGGGGTACTGCAGCATGGGCGAAAGAAAGACTCGATAGATCTAGAGCTTTAGCATCTAATTATTGCGTTCATGCTTTCCCCTAAGCGAAATTGGTTAATATCAAAGCTCTTTCATCTGACCATTCCCCGATTCTCTCACAAATCGCGGTGTGGATTAGGAGGGCCAATGTTCCACGATTTAGCTTTGAGAATTACTAGGGTTGCAAGGTGGTTGTAGAAGAGTCCTGGAATTTTTTAGGGAAGGCTACGCTTTTAGAAAAAATCAATTTTTGTGGCTAGAGTTTACAAAAGTGGTTTGGTGGTCCAGTCAAGTAAAGAAAGAAGCACATAGCTGAGTGTAAAATAACGTAATCTTGACTTGCGCCCTAGGAGTGACAATGTTTCTCTAAATTTGTATGCCTCTTTTGAACATGAACTCCAAGAATTATTTAATGATCAAGAGGCGTTTTAGAAGCAACGAGCAAAGAAATTCTAGATACTAGGAGGTATAAATTCTAAATTCTTTCATTCAAAAGCTGGTGCTCGAAAGAAGAAGAATAGAATTCTGAAATTGCAAGATGATTTAGGCATATGGCGTGATAAGGGCAGTGGGTTTATATGAGTGGATGAAATCTTACTTTGCTGATTTATTTACATATCAAGGTTGTGATGCCTCTGATGTTTATGACTGTGTTTTCGCAAAAGTTACAATGATCAAAATGATATGTTAAACTTTATTTTCATGAACGAAGAGGTAAATGAGGCTATTTTCTCAATGCATCTAGAGAAATCACCGAGTCCGGATTGCATGAACCCAAGATTTTCTTTGAGAAATTTTGGAAGATTGTTAGAGGGGATGTCAAGGACCTGGTTAGATTTTTTGAATAAATCTTATTTACCAACCGAGCTTAGTAAAACTCATATTATTTTGATTCCTAAGAAAAAGGAACCATAATCTATGTTTGACCTTATACTTATATCCCTTTGCAATGTTAGGTGGTTACAAAGGTTCTTGCTAATCAGTTGAATTTGGTATTGCCTAATTTGTTTTATGTTTACCAAAGTGCTTTCATTCCTGGTCGGCTTGTTACAGACAACGTACTGATTGCTTTCTCCATTTTATGAAGTGAAATCGATAAGGAAAAGATAATTATGCAACTCTACGATAAAATTGAATGGAGTGTCTGTCATGGCATAATGGAGAGGTTGGGTTTCAACACTTTATGGATAAATCGGGTTATGATATGCTTGACATCAGCTTTTTATTATATTACGACAGATAATGGTGAAATTAGTCATTAATAGAGGTTTCAGACAAAGGAACCCATTATCACCCTATTTGTTCATCATATGTACAGAAGGTTTGCTTGCTTTGATTCAAAAGAAAGATGCCTCGAGTTTACCTCGTGGCTGTTAAGTTTAAAGAGGTGCTCTAGTTGTATCACATCTCTTTTTTGCTGACGATTGCTATTTGTTCTTTAAAGGGGTTCCAGCTGAATGTGACCAGATTAAGCAGTATTTATTGAGTTATGAGAAAGCCAAGGGTCAGTAGGTAAATTTCCAAAAACTTCTATTTTATTCAACCTTAACACTAGCTCTGATGTGTGGGCTTCTATTTATCAACGACTGACTGTTTCTGAGAACTTTCAAATGGAGAAATATCTTGGACTTTCCTCTATAATTAGAAGGAAGAAACATGAAATATTCTCTTTTTTTAAAAGACAAAGTTTGGAGCAGATTAGATGGGCAGAATCAAATGCTGTTCTTTTAGGCAGGCAAAGAAATTTTGCTGAAGTTGGTAATGTAGGCTATCTCATCATATCCCGTCATATGGAATGATGAACTCATATTAGTGAGGGCTCTAATTTGAGGACTAATTCAGGAATTCAATGGATGAGCTGGAGGCAGATGTGTACAAGTAATTGAACTGGTGGGTTGAATTTTCTCATGATACATGAGTTCAATC